CAGACCTAGCAGACCTAGCAGACCTGGCAGACCTAGCAGACCTGGCAGACCTAGCAGACCTTGCAGACCTGGCAGACCTGGCAGACCTAGCAGACCTAGCAGACCTAGCAGACCTGGCAGACCTGGCAGACTTGGCAGACCTAGCAGACCTAGCAGACCTGGCAGACCTGGCAGACCTGGCAGACCTGGCAGACCTAGCAGACCTGGCAGACCTGGCAGACCTGGCAGACCTAGCAGACCTGGCAGACCTGGCAGACCTGGCAGACCTAGCAGACCTGGCAGACCTGGCAGACCTAGCAGACCTGGCAGACCTGGCAGACCTGGCAGACCTGGCAGACCTGGCAGACCTGGCAGACCTGGCAGACCTAGCAGACCTGGCAGACCTGGCAGACCTGGCAGACCTGGCAGACCTGGCAGACCTGGCAGACCTGGCAGACCTGGCAGACCTGGCAGACCTGGCAGACCTAGCAGACCTGGCAGACCTGGCAGACCTAGCAGACCTGGCAGACCTAGCAGACCTAGCAGACCTGGCAGACCTGGCAGACCTAGCAGACCTGGCAGACCTGGCAGACCTAGCAGACCTAGCAGACCTGGCAGACCTGGCAGGCAGTACAGTTCAGGAGACGTGATGTTGCATCCCTATCTGCAAACGAGATACCCTGCTCACTAGCTGCATTGGCGTCATCCTGTTACGCAAGCTTCATGCTTACAGCGAGGGTAAGAGACGACGGACGGGGCCTGAAGAAGAGTGCGGGAAGGACTGCGTGCCTCTCTGGTCTTTTTCAAGACCGCCTTCCTTCGGGAATGGTTTAAACGGGATTCCGGGCTCAGCCATATTTGCATTTGGGATGCAGTACAAAAGGACCTGGTAGGTTACGGCTACTGCCCTACCCCGCCTGACTTACATATGCACACACAGAGGCGATACTTGTGAGGAGGAGGAGACCCGGCTGCGTCACACCGTGTGTCGTGCGGCCGGCAAGACCAAGGGGGGTGCGAATAAGAAGCTCGCGAAGGCACGAATAGTCATGGTTGAAGTCCCTGAACATGCTGGAGTACCTGAACATCAGCAGCATTGACCCTCGACAAGGGGTGAAGGTAATGTGCATTGGCAGTGTGAAGCGCCGCGTCAGGACGGACCAGGAGCTGCGGCATAAGCTCCGTTGAGTATCTCAAACGCCTACTAGAAAGCACAGGTAGGTACAGTATGGGCAGACAAAGCAGGCAGTATAGGACCGTACACCGTCTTGGGAGGACAGTGCCTCTGGCTGCAGCAACAGTAGCTTGCTGGATGATGACTAGCACAGCAGAGCTCCTCCAGTTGCTGGTGAGCACAGCACCTGGGGAGCCACCATGGTGGTGGACAGCCTGAGGATGCAGTGGCAGCAACAGCACCAGAAGCACCTTCTGGCGCTGCCATGGCAGACTGACGGGCTACAGGCATGTTAGCATGGTGCTTCACAGGGTGGTCTCCCACAGTGAGGTGGGGATAAGGGGAAGGAACTGCCCCTGGCACCAGCTGTGGCCCGGGGAGCGGCGATGGCTTCGGTGGGGCTGTCAGTGATGAAGATGAAGATGATGATGATGATGATGATGATGATGATGATGATGATGATGATGATGATGATGATGACGATGATTTTACCAGCAGCTGCAGTGGTGGCAAGAAGTGATTTTTCCATCTGCCAGTGATTTTTCAAACTATGGAATTGCTGTGGAGCTGATTTACCGGCTTCCAGTTTGAGAAAATGATGCCTGGTTGGATTGGTGTATAACACGGCAAACGATTCCCTCTCTTCCGTGCCCCCAGGCAACTTACCTGGGGGAGCAGGCAAAGCCTCCATGATGGCATGAGCTTGGATAAACCTGGGCACGTGGCACATCCACTTAGTCGAAGCTCCGGGACTGCAGCACTCCGGGGGCCTGGATGATCCCTGCAGTGGCCAGAGTGATTCTGCAGGTGATATCCGCTCTTGATCTTGGACTGCACTCCCTGCATGCTCGACCTATGGGTTGCACATCAGGAAGTCGTGGAACTAAAAACTTCCCGCGTGACGTAGTCCTATCATTATGTGAGGGAGACGTTCAGCTGCTGGACCAGCTGTGCTTTGCTGCTGTTGCTGTGCGGGCGTATGGTGTCCGCTGTCAAGTTGGCTGCCTGGCAACTGTGGGGCAGTTATGCTGCGCACATCCACCTTTTTTGTTGTGTTTACTTTAATTGAATTTGCAAGTAGCTTCTTGGTTGAACCGCATGCAGCTTTTTACATTTTGGTGAGACCTAAGCCTGCCTAAACCACGATATGGTGATGGTTTGATGTTTGAATTTCTAGCAGGCGGTTAGTCGGTTGTTCAATGGCTGGAAGCCTCCGGGAACACACCAGACATCGGCAAACGGGATATTTCTGGAAGGCTAGAGGCGAGGTGCTAATGCTGGAGGAGGACGGAATTGAAATGAGAACAGTGCACAATGTGTTGGTCCAAAAATCGTTGCGCGAGAACACCAGCACGACTAACGAAAACCATAGCGACTTTGATAACATTCCACACGCCTAATGCCGCAATTGGTAAAAACATTGCAAGAGTTGCATTCGGAACCATTGATGACGCTGTCCAGGAAAGCATACGTAGACCATTTCCTTGATAAATCGTTCGACGAGGTCGGAACGACTCTACATTACCACGAAGACAGGAACAAATTGAAGATCCTTAGGAATCACCTGGTCAACCGTCTGTGTAGAAGTCGCTTGGTTCGTGTTATGGAATCTTCCACGTGCTATGCACGCTATGCAAACTCGGAGGCGTAACTGACAGACAGCAGCCCACCTCGTGGTGGTAGACTTTTACGTGGACGCACAAGAAATGGTTTTTTCTTATCTTAAAATCTAATTATAATTCTTTACCGCTTAAATTTAATTTAGTAACAAAAATGACGACGATGAAGGGTTGCTTAACGCTTACATCCGTTTTGGTGGTCGTCTGTTTGGTCTACGCAAAGGAATCACATGCTTTTGGTCGGAGTAAGTTAATTTGCTTGAATATCGTAAGCTACTTGCCATATGGGTATCCAAGCTAGGAGTCCATGTAGGGACACCGTTTGGGACATACAACCTGACTGTAAACTTCCGATCCCTGATTTCTTTCAGGCATCCTTCAAACCTGCAAGCAATCAGGGGTAAGCACATCGGTTCCCCAGCTGAGCGAGCAGAACGTCCACACTTTCGGTCGGCCGTATGAGCGAGGCTGCCCGCGATACGCCGCATGTCGTCCCTTGGGCAGGGGCGCATTTCCAGCATTTTCATGCTGTATCTAATTTACGTGCCTTGATTATACACCTGCAGGAGCGCTGCTCCCTGTATGCAACCTCCGAGTGCTGCGATGGCCTCGTCTGCACCATGCCGTTGGAGTGCACCTCAAAGGGCGCCCGCAGCGAATGCCTGCCTGAGTGCCGCAAGCAAAGTAAGATTCGCGTGGTCTGGGTGTGCATCGATTAGCAGCCTGGCAAGCTAAAAAGTGACTGCTTCGCTCGCATGGCCAACGCTGCTGCCTGTTAATGCGAGCAGAACGCAGAAACCCGGGGAAAAGGCAAGAATCCAATATGCTTATACAAATTTCATACGGGAAAACATGTATAGCACAGACAGAAGTCTCCCATGACCCCGGATCTTCCAAGCCACTAATATAAGCAAATTTGAACTATTGGCTGTCGCACATGAGCCGCCGAACACCTGACTCCTAGTTGACGGCTACCATCTGACACCCCAAGCTTAGCATCCACCCACCAGCGCCCCGTCCTTCTCTCCCGCACCTGTCATGACGAACCTCCTGATGCCGTATCAGCTGTTGGTCCATTTGCACCCGATTCCCGTTGGTCTACCTGCCCTCCGCCTCCTAATCACCCGCACTCTGCTCCCCTTCCTCCCCCCACCCAAACACCCCCGTGGGCCCTACACCCCCCCACGGCCCTCATGCACATTCACAGCCCTCAGCAACCTGACCCGGATTGAGTACCCCTCCAGCTCGGGCAAGACACCAGGGTTCGAGGGGGGCAAGAAGTACAAGCCCGCTGTGGTAGTCATGCAGGTGGGGTCGGGGGAGGGAGGGTAAGGGGGTTTGGAGCATGGCTGTCGTCAGCTCGCGCCGTAAGGTGTACAATTAAGGCTCCCAACGAGCGCAACCCTCGTCTTTAGCTGCCATTTGGTCCTCTAAGAAAAACACTGCTGCCAGTGTAAGCTTGAGGCAGTGTAGGGCCCCGTGTGGGCTACGGAAAGGGGGGGAAGGGGGACCCAGAGGCCAAGGTCGGTCGGGAACAACGGCGAGGGTCTGCTACCGCCGACAACTTAGTCGCCGTGTCTTTGGTGCTGGTGTGGAGATGAATGATGGTCGGTGGATAAATGAGGTGCTTGGGAGGGGCTAATGCACGGTGTGGGGCAGGAGCGGGCATTTGACGTGCCATACGACAGCATACCCAGACCCTACACCCCGGGGATGGTTCGTGGCGGAGGTTTTGGTGGCGGTGTGAAATTGCCAGGGAAGTTGGTTACGTGGAGATGATTGTACGGATAGATGGTTGGGTGGGGGCCCGGCGGGATGCACCGCGCATGGAAAGCAGCACATAGCATTGACCTGACACAACTGAGGCCCCACCTGACTTGGGCCCCCCTTTTTCGCCTTTCCCCCTCGCCACTATGTGCCCCTCTCCGCCTTCCTTGCTTTCCCCATCCCACAAACATACATACGCACGTACACATATCTGGTTGACGTCCAACAACCCACCTCCTCTCTGGGTCTCCAATGCTTTGCTGATGACATGATGACCTCCTGGACGCCCTGCACTGCACTGCGCCTCTAGGAATGGTGGGTACATCAATGGTAGCAGTAATATAATAATATAATAATAACAGTAATAGTAATATAGTAGTAGCAGTAATAGTAATAGCAGTAACAGTTATATAGTAAAGTAGTAGCGGTGGTTCGGCAGATGAGAATTTTAAAGAGAGGGGGGCCCGATATGTTGCACGGGGTTGCAATTCGGAATGGACCGCAATGCCGACCGTGTCCGCCTCCTGCACCTCCTCCAGCTCCACCACAATCACCGAAGCAATCATGAAACATCACGTCAATCAACGGCCTTCTTTTCGGTTTTTAGCCCCCGGTCCGTTTACCGTTGGCCGTTGACGTTGTCTCTGTTATTTTAAAAATCCAAAAATACATTTTCGCCATAGCTCAGCTGTCGCTGTTTTCCGTCTCACTCAGGTGGGGTGTGAACGACGCCATTAAGGAGACGGCGATGCACATCGCAGAGCAGGGCTACAGGGTGCTGATTCCTGATCTGTACCGCGGGCGGGTGGCGGTGGAGCGAATGGAGGCCATCGGGGTACGTGTCCACTCCCTCCATACACACATACATACACATACACACATACACACGCACACACATACACACGCACACACATACACACGCACACACATACACACGCACACACATACACACGCACACACATACACACACACGGATGAAATAGGTCGGGGTGTCGAACGCTGAGATGAGACATTGGGTTCCTCCAGTGCGCTGGGCGGCTGGAGGGGGAGCTCACCTTGAAGGTCAATTCAGTGCCGCAAAGCAGTGGCGGAGGATTAGTTCTGCGTAAGGCCTGGACCAGGCAGATCGTGATTGGATAACGAAACCGGGCGGCGGCAGGATAGGGTGGTGATTGGCACCGGTGTGAGTGCATTGGTAGATCGCGCAGCTGTAGATCATGCGCTGGGTGAAACGGAGGTTGCTTGGGGCATCAAGTCGCTGGCTAGAGGATTCGAACAGGTGACGGCGCCTTACGATGATGCGGGAGAATGGCTAGGACTCTGACCGGTATAATGCCCCTCCAATTATGGAGTGCTCTAACGGTCGTTCCCGTTGGGGTACGGTTAGGTGCCCCTGCCCAGTGTCATGCCCCGATCGATGTGTAACAGATAAAACACACGCATGCGCACATACACGCACACACATGCGTACAAAAATGCTCACACATACATACATATACCCATACAAACACACACACACATACATATACCCATACAAACACACACACACGAACGCATCGATACCTCTACAGCACTACCACCATAGTCCAACCACAAACCACTAACCTCTCGTCTAACTACCTCCGTACAGTTGGCCAGTGACCTCAACTGGACCCGCGGAGTGGATGACGTGGTCAAGGCGGTGGAGTACTTGAAGAATACAGGTGCCTACATGTGTGGTGTGTGCGTGCGTACGTATGTTTGTTTGTGTCATAAGGAACTGTGTTATAAGGAACTGATCTGCGAGTAACGTACGTGTGTATGTGTAGATGTATGTGTAGAGAGGTGTGTGTGTGTGTGTGTTTTAGTGATCTTCGGAGCCGCGATGATGGTTTCACACTGCCGATGAAGGTACACTGGATAACAACTTCATACCGAATTCGGAGCGAGCTCCGTAGTCACCAGCGACGTGTGATAGACCTTTCCAATGAAACTGTAGATGTTGCTCGAATACTCCAAGCAGATGTTGATAAGAAGAGTGAGATATCAAGAGCCCGTAGAATCAAGCGGCGCAGTAGTGGCGAAGGGCGACTAGGGGGTGGGCACAGCTAGAACTGACTACTCAGAACGTGCGGCGGTACGGAGGAAGGAAGGAAGGGCTTCAGAAATCCCAAAGCTGGCAGCAGTGCACCCGCCATTGCAGCAAAATCCAAGCCAGTCTAGCGCCTCCGCCCCTCTACACACCGTTACTTTTATATAACTTTTTCCCTCCATATCTCCCTTTTTTGGGTGGTTGGTGCGCAACCACCCCAAACCGCAGGCTCTAAGAAGGTTGCCATCATGGGTTTCTGCCAGGGCGGTGGCATGGCGCTGTGCGGGGCGCAATTCGCGAAGGTCGACGCTGCGATCCCCTTCTACGGCATTCCGTCCAACTTCACCGGCTGCAATGTGAGTGTACAGCACACTAGGGCAGTACGATGATAAGCCGTACACGATTGTATGAATTGCACGGCAGTGTACGGGGCTGGCAATCTGCTCTGGGCGTCTGTCGTTCTGTCCTCCTCACGACTCACAAACTGACAACAGGAGAAAGCTGCGCCTCCACGTGACGCACTAGCTTTCCCTCTTCATTGTCCAGGATGGCGCAGATCTTATGTGTGCGGCTTTGCCGTTCTTCCTAAACCCCTCCTGCGCTTTCCACCTCCTGCGTCCCAGCCCTTTGCCCTCTCCCCCCCTTTTTTGCTGCGTAACCTGGCCCGCAGCCGCTGCTGATCTCGCCATCAGTGCCCGTACAAGCCCACTTCGGCACCAACGACACCTCCTTCCCAGCCAGCAGGGTGCTGCCCCTGTTCGACGGCATGAAGGCAGCCGGCGCGGATGTCAGGCTCTACATGTGAGGTTATTTTAGGGGGGAAAACGAACGGCAGTGGTACGGCAGCTAGTGCGTGGTGTTTGGTTGGTTGATTGGTTGGTTGGCTGGAGTGGGTGAATGGGTGAATGGGTGAATGGGAAGGGGGGGTGTCGGTTCAGCAGGATCCGAGAAAACAAGTGGTGGCTCCACTCCGGGCTGGTCCATTGTCCTAAGGACGTCCCGAGACCCTTGGGAACGGCGCACTGGCCGATGGGTGTAACATAGCGAAAGGTCAAGGCACGTGTGGGGCGGTTTGGGGACTGAGAGAGACATACATGCATACATGTGTTTTCTCTGGCTCGTCTTCTCATCGTTTGCCGTGGACCATCCTTTTGTACGATGTTTGTTCCCCTTGTTGATATACCCACTGGCAGGTATGACGGTCTTCCCCACGCATTCTTCAACGCCATCACGCCTGCTGGCCGGCGGCTGATGTCCGGTACGTACGGCAATACAATGCCTGCGTACGGACAACGCGAGGATAGCAGTACGGTCGGAGATCTCTTTTGCTCACCCCCAACCAATAGCAAGCCACACTCGACCCGCGACCTCACCACTCGTTTAGCAGTAGCAACCCGAAGCCTGCGATAGATTGTCCTGCAACCCCATTTATAAGTTCGGCGGTGTGGAAAAACCACACCGTTAAGCTCCGAGGCGGCTATTGCAGCTGCAATGCACTCAGTTCCTGGTGGTTTACTACGGCCGACCAGTCCAGAACTATTCGTCCCTACCTAACCACCTACCTACCCAAGCACCTACGTACCTACTTACCTACTTACCTACCCACCTACCCGATAACAACATAAAATGAAGGTGGTATTCCCCCGTCGTGAAGAAACGTCTCCTCCTCACTTTCCGTCTCATTTCCCCCTCCCCTCCTCTCCCGCCCGCCCTCCTTCCCGCCCGCCCTCTCCTTCATCTCCCCTTCTCCCCCTGCCCCGTGCACCCCGGCTCCCCCCAGGTGGCAACCCGAACTTTAGATTCCCCAACGAGACACTCGTCACTATGTCCTTTAGCCGCATGACCAACTTCCTGCGCCTGCACATCCGCTACTGATGCCGTTGGGGGGGGGGATGGGAACGACGGGGGGTGGCCCCGAGGTCCGAGGTTGATGTCCGGAGAAGCTGCGCAGTGGAGTATCACGGGGGCCTACCGCCAGAAAGGAATCATCCTCTAGGGTAGTTTGGGTAAAGCAGAGGCCCGGTCGAGGCCGAACGCGAAGTGAGGTCCCCCAGGGGACCCGGGAGCAATGCTCCTTGGATAATGGTGCCTCCACCTGCTCGGTGTACTTCGTGTGTGTATTTGTGTGTGTATTTGTGTGTGTATTTGTGTGTGTATTTGTGTGTGTATTTGTGTGTGTATTTGTGTGTGTATTTGTGTGTGTATTTGTGTGTGTCTCATGTTTACATTTAAAATCCCATACCCTTGGAAATGTAATCCATTTCAAAAGGAACTGACACCCCCACAGCAGGGCCGCAAACTCAAAGGAAACTTATTAAATTTGCTTTTTTGTTGCACCAGCTTTTAGTCCGTCCGCACGGAACTTACCATTATGGAACATTAATTTTCGCTACCTGCGATAATGGTTGCGATGGTGGGTGTGATGGGCTCCGCTAGGAGCCGCCGTCATGTGTAGTCTACCGTGGTGTTTGGCGGAGGGCGTCGCTGCAGGGGCGCTCTGCAGCTGGCGGTGGTCACATCTCGCGCGTGTCCCTCATGAGTAGCGGTGCTTTTTCGCCTGCACTGCGCGCCCTTCAATCAAATGCGGTTTGCAGGTCGCTACATTCGGCACTGCAAGCCCGCTCGGCCTCCAGGGAGGGCGAAGAGATTATCTTTTCCATTATCTTTTCCAAAGGAATGCAATGAAAACACAGAGAGCTCGCGAAGTGATTAGCAGAGGCACGCAGACGAGTTATCAGCTTGTTCATGGAGTACGTGTGCGTGCGTGTATGTATGCGGGTTCGTGGGGTGAGATGGGGTGGGGTGGAGAGGCGGGTGGGTAGGGGGTTTGTGGAGTTGCGCGCCACCATGGGCGCGCGCACCTGCTTGCTGCCATGTCGCCGGGGTATTGGTGCGGACATTGCTGCGTGTGGTGGTGGCAGGACGTGTCTGATCTGGGCGGGGCTGGGGCAGTTGCAAGGAGGGAAAGGGGGAAGGGGGGAAGGGGAACAGGAAGGAGCGTCCTGGGGCGGGGTGTCAACAAGGGCAACCGCTGCTGGCGACCACCCTGGCCCTCCTATGCTAGTTTCCCTTCCTGAGCTCCTCCCCCATGTCCTTCACCTCAACCGGAAGGATAAGAAAGGGTGTAGAGGTTGGTCGTCCCTGTCCCCGCGCCTGTCCTTACACCTCCCGTGAGAAGTGAGGCTGCGGGCGGGCGGCATGTCACCCTCGCGGCATTTCCTTCTTTTCCATGTCCCTCTCCGCGCGCGTTATCATGGCGTGGGATGACGAGCACCTCTCTCCGACCCATGTTCCTGCGTGTACTGAACTGCTTAGGGTTTTTAAAGAGAGGAGGGAGAGAGAGAGAGAGAGGAGAGAGAGAGGGGGCCGGGCCGGGTCCCTGCAAGGCCGAGACATTACGCTCTGATCTACTGGCCACGAGGAGGGATATTCCATTCGTTCTATGCGCATTCACTGCTTTAAATACAAAGATTCTTTGCCGCCACATATTCTTTCCAACATATAAGTCAATTAGGGAGATGTATTCAGGATCACCGGGAAGCAATAACGTCCTATTTAGGAAATGTAGTTGCTGGAATGAAAGTACTTCCAAGGGTTTCTGCGGGATCTGCGACGATGAGGAGAGCTCGGAGCCGACGTATGTCCCGCCGTTGTCCGTTGTCCGTTTCTGTACATATACCAAAAATACACGACGTATGTCCAACCGTTGTCCGTACACATACAATCATACACACACTACATGCAAAGAGCACATCACCCCAAAACGTAAACAGTAATCACACTTGCAACAATAGCAGCATCAGCAACAACCGTACTACTGCTAGGCCAATGCAACCGCCAAAGAAAGCTCACACCCACCTGGCCACCTTAGCTGCGCACATTAATCAAGCCCCTCCTCCAGGCACCGCCAGCAACACCGCAGGAAGTGACTTTCCATCTTCCCGCGCACTCTCGTCCGGCCCCCCCCAGCACTCCCAAGTCTGAAACCTCCCCAGATCAGCCCATGTTTACCTGCAAGTACCCCGGCGCGCTCTTTCACGGCTTTCCAACGCCCCTCTCCTCTCCCGACCCAACGCCCACATCGCGTCTAACCGCCCCTCCTTTGCACAGCGCCTCCCGGTCCTCCCCCCTCCCCTCCTCTTCCTCCCCCTACTCCAGTTGTGCATCCTCCCGCTGCCGCCTCGCCGCCAGCAGCCTCCTGTACACCCCGCGACTGATGGGCCCGTACCTGCGGAGGGCCATGGAGGAGCAGTGGCAGCAGTGGCAGCAGCGGCAGCAGTGGCAGCAGTGGCAGCAGTGGCAGCAGCGGCAGCAGTGGCAGCAGTGGCAGCAGTGGCAGCAGCGGCAGCAGCGGCAGCAGTGGCAGCAGTGGCAGGGGGAGGAGGAGCTGTTTCGGTACCTAAGGTACAGCGGTAACAGCGGCGGGAGGGGATGGTCTATCTGTGCCTGGAATTCCACCACAGAAGACCCGAATCCACCGAGACACACACACACACACATACACACATACACACCAATTCAACACAACCCAATTCAACACAACCCAATTCAACACACACCAATTCAACACAACCCAATTCAACACACACGCACCTGATTGTGAAGGCCTTGTAGCAGGCCTTATCCGCAATGGTGACCCGATCGTCCTGGGGCCGCGAGAAACCTCCACCGCCACCACCTCCACCGCCTCCACCACTACCTCGTCTCACAACAGTGGCTGCCTCCATCTCCAGCTCCTCCTCCGCCACAATCATCTGGGGTGAGGGAGGAGGAGAGAGAGATGGGGGTAAGACGAACCACCGGCGAATGAAACAGGGGGGAGGTGAGGGGAATAGCTCGAGGTGGTGGGCGGGTTATGGGTGTGGGCGTGGGTGTGTGAATGAGTATGGACACGGATGGAAACATGGTGGAGCGAGGGGCTGTCAAACAGCCCCAGGCTCTCCACGGCTACTGGCAGTGGGCCTCTCAGCCTCTCAGCCTCTCAGCCTCTCAGCCCCCGGGGGCCCGCGGGGCCGAATGACGGGAACACAGCACCCTATCACACAAGGTATTTGGACGTGTGAATGTGTAGTGGCGGCGTTTCCAGGATTGAGACCCGCTGCAGCTTTCAAGGCTTGTGGGGCTGGAGCTCATCCAACGAACAGAAACAAAGGCCAGGAAAGCGATATCTGCCGACATCTAGCACCTGCCTACTGACAGTCACAACCCAACCCAACATCCCGAAGCCCCCGGCCTCCGACCGCACTGCACATACATACATACATACATACATACACCCCTAACATACATACATACATACATACATACATACATACATACATACATACATACATACATACATACATACATACATACATACATACATACATACATACATACATACATACATACATACATACATACATCCCTAACCAACCCTGCCGCTCAGGGAGGCCCCGGAGCCAGCCCGGCCCCTACCCGCGCGATACACCAAGGCGAGTCCCCCATCCAGACGCACACGTTGCCGACATACCGACATACCGGCATACACACACACATACACACCTCGGCTGTCTCCCTGGCCGCCAGTGTCCACCAAATGTGATCCGCTGACCCCGGCGCCACCTCCCCGACCAGTGCTGCCACCACCTCGGCCAGACGCGGCTCCACATCCCCCCGGGCGCTGAGAGCCGCCCACAATACCGTGTAAAGGGGCGCCACGGCGGACTGCAGGAAGGCAGCGGATCGCATGACGATTATGATGGTGATGATGATGGGAATTTTACGAAGTTGCGGAGGACAGACTGTCGACACGTCCAATACATCCGGGGAAATGGGAAGAGGGGGGAAGACGAACCACGAGCGAGGAAGAGGGGGGAGGGGAAGAAGGGTAAGGGGAAGAGGGGGAAGGGGGAAGAAGGGGGGAAGACGAACAAGGGGGAAGGGGGAAGGGAGGGAATCTGGCAATGAATAGCGCGGGGAGGTGAGGGGGGGAGAATTATTTGCGATACCCAAAGACAGGCGCGGGGGAGGAAGTGTTTGTTGAAGAAAGGGACGACAAACGAACGACAAACAGGAATACAGTACATACACACATGGAGGCGGCAGGGGCCGGGTGAGAAGAGGGGGGAGAAGAGGAAAGAGGGGCGGCACAACGATATAACGTAGCAGGGGAAGCAGTGGGCCCCCATCTTAAACCTCCCTCTCCAAAATCTCTTAAATCCCCAATCGCACCACCCCTAACCACCTGCGCCGTGATCTGCTGTCCGGGTGTGAGTCTCAGCTTCACCATGGCCGCGTCCATCAGTTCCACGTACAGCCCCGCCCGGTCCACAACACTGCAGTGGCATGTTGCAGAGTGTGGGCGGGTGGCGAGGTGGCGAAAGAGGACGAGGGGAGGACAGGGCGATGGGGATGGGGATGGGGACGGAGGTGGGGATGGAGATGGGAAGGGTGGGAGGGAGATGGGGAGGGAGATGGGGAGGGAGATGGGGAGGGAGATGGGGAGGTAGGGAGGGAGGGATCAACAAGCGACCCTGCATGAATGACAACGACAAGTGCCACCCCCCACCCCCACCCCCCACCTGCGGCCCCATCTGTCCCCCGGAACGAAACAAAACACCACCCGCCATCTTTCGGCACGACTCATAGCCACCCCCATGCGCGATACATACACACGGACACATATACATGCATCCATGCATCCATACATACATACACGCACCTTCCAACCATTTGCCGCCAGCGACCGCCCTCTGTTTCCTCCTCTCCTTCACCACCCTCGTCCTCCCCGTCCTCTGCTGCTGCCGCTGCTGCTGCTGCTTGCCGCCGCTGCCGCTGCTGCCTGCGCTCCTCACCCGCCGCCTTCGCTACCGCCTCACCCCCCGGCCCTGCCATCATCCGCCCGGGCCGCAGCTGCTCTTCTCCCTCCTCTCCCCCCTCCGCCTCCTCCTCCTCCTCCTCGTCCAATTCTGCCAGAGCCAGTGCGGTCTGGCGGAAAAACGAGCATCCGCCAAGAACCACAACAGGGGAACACCACACCACACCACACCGCATCACATCGCATGTCTCCACATAGCACGTCTCAGGGGTCCATCAGCACTCTCAGTCAGCGGCTCACTCGCTGTATATGCATCCATACACATACATGCACACACACACACAAACTCTTATGCACATACAAAAATACAGGATACAGGACAAAGCAGCATTTCGATCTCTGCTGTCGCCCCTCTAAGCGGACCACTGCGCTCTGTACATCCCTGCACCACCACCGTCCCCCTTCCCCCTCACTTTCCCCCCCTTCACTTCTCCCCCTCCCCCCCACTCGAAGCCGCGGTTCCTGTAACCCCCCTCCCCTCACCCCTCCCCTCACCCTCAGGTCGACTCTCAGCGCCGCCACCCCCGCGGAAATATCCGACATCAGCGCGCGGAGCTTGGGGTCCTGGGGCCCGGGGGCGTGGGTGTTGGGGAAAACGGTGGATAGGGTGGTGGTAGGGGGGGGGAGATTTCAGGAGGGGCAAAACATCACTACAGAAAAAAGAACGGAGTGGCCGGTGTGGCGGCGGATGGTGAAATGGAGATGGGGAGCACCGATTCGCTCCTATAGCAGCAGGTGGGCAGCGAGATGGGCAACAGGAGGTGGGCAGTACAGCGGCAGTGCACCGGTGTTAATGCCTGTGATGATGATGATGATGATGGTGGTAGTGGTGGTGGTGGTATTATCGAAGGTAGCGGCACAGAGCTGGAGAGACCGACAGGCGGTCTACGAACCTTTTCACCCCCTTAACCCAGTGCCGCTCCGGCGCTCCCCACCTCTTCCCACCCCTCATCCCCCTCACACACACCCATCCGTACAAACCCACCCACCAGGGACTCCTCTGCCGTACACCTGTTACATCGGCATACAAAACCCCGCAGCTCCTCCAACGCCCTGCAGCGGACACCCCGCGGCGACAACAGCGTCGCAGCTGTGTCTTCATCACCATCACCATCATCATTGCCACCATCATCATTGCCACCATCCGAGGCGTCCGCGTCCGTCTCGCCAGCATCATCATCCCCAACATCGTCCTCGATGTCACCGTCGGCGCCTTCCTCGCCGTACCCGCTCCCCACCGGCAGGTACGACACTGTAAGCTCGGAGCCCCCGCCAACCTTCCGAGCCGCCCGCACGAAGAGGGTGTCCCTAATCCGGCAGAAGGGGGGGGAGGGAGCACGGCAGGGGGGGAAGACGAGCCACGAGCGAGTGATGGTGATGTCTAGGAAAGACTGATGCGCCAGAAGTGAAGACGGCAAGGGGGGGCCAGACGGGCAGAGGAAGTGCGGATCACACCGGCTGCAAAGACCCTGATATTCGTAGGTGCCGACGTAGATGCGCACCCCTCCCCCCCCAACACACGCACAGGAGG